CACGCACATTTCAGTCTCCTAATAAAGCTTGTCCTCTCTTGAAATGTCTCCCTTTTCTCCTCCAGGGATGCAGAGATAATGCAACAGAAGCAAAAAAAGGCAAATGAAGGAGGGAAAGGAAAGACCAAGTGAAGAATGAAGTCTTGAGACAAATTCAGCTCGGTGTCTCAAGAACCTGTTCAGCATTCTACCTGATATTTATAAGAAAGGATCTTTTAATTTTTGTCTAAACTCAAGAATCCAGGATCTGACTTTCCTCTCTATGGCAAATGACATTGCTTGTTGGATTTGTTGTTTTACACGATGAAATTATGTCTGAGCAAGTTAGCGGTTGTGTCACTTTGGTGCTGCATGCAGGGGCGCATCAGTGGTGTAAGGAGCAGAATAATGATGAACAATTCTCAACACAAAGCATCTGTGTAACAGTTGTGTATTTTTGTACAAAGATGTCCCCTGCTGGTTTCAAATAAAGTGTATCTTTTTTTTGTTTGTTTCATACTTGTTTGACTTATTATCAGTATGTCAATATTAACAGTGAGTCTTTTACCAAAGGACCTTTGTAATGGTGCCACATGTAGGTATAGACTGAGGGACAGTGTGGGGTCATAAATACAGCTACAAAAGGCCTCGCTCCAGATGTGTTTATAGCTGTTTACTTATATACTAGAAGGGAGAAAACAGGTCTTGTAAGACAGTGTCTACAAGGCTTAAAATTAGGTTAAACCTGGATTGAGCAACAAGAGCAAAAGATTAAAGATATCTGAAAACAGTCCACTATGTGTGGTCATTTATGACCATAGCAACCGTATTTACTTGAATTGTGATATTTCTAAAGTGTATCCTGCCATTAGTTATTCAGTCTACTAATACAGCTTTTCATAGTTGGGGTAGGGTACTGGAGAGCTGTGTGGGGTCATTTGTGACTTTGGAAATGTTTGGTTTTTAACATAAACCTATGTTTTGTTTGAAATTTTATATTTCACTTTTGTAGTAAACCATGGTTAACAGAACCAGCATCAACATCAGAATCATAGTGAACTGAAAGTGGGTGTTTAGGGAAAAAGACATTGGAAAAATAAATAAATTGGATCCTGAAAGAAACATACTGTTCACCCATAAAACTAAAAGGTAAACAGGAAATGTTCTCTTCTCTCATTGTGGTTAAACAGGGTGTGTTTTTGTTACTAGGATACTATGTGATCCAAAGTATTGTTACGTAATGTCTATTCTTAACATCTAAAAACCTTTCCCTGAGAAAAAACACATAAAGCTAAACTGAAACAGAACATTTTCAAGCCAAAAATCTAAATGGAAACGGGCAAATCCACCCAGGAAACTGAAACTAAACTCCAGTGTAGGTGTGATGTATTGTACTCCATGTCGCATAGCTTAACGCAAAATTAGTGCGTTCTTATTGACTATGGTAAGACATTTCTTTCTCACTATTTTCAAAATGATATTCATAAAATCTCTGACTCTTCTTGCGAAGCCACCAAAACGGTGCACACAGCCTGTAAAAGTCACTGCACTACTGAGTGTTCAATATGCATTTGTTCAAATAATAAACATATACATAAATAAATAAAAGAAAAACTGAGCTCCAGAAAGAAATAGCTAACTTTCTGAGGCCATCATCAGTTCCAGTGTGCAGTAAATAAAGACAATAAATGTAGTGAGATTAGGTGAAGGTGTGTCCCCCTCGATTACATTGAAGATCCGCATAATGAATTTTTATGTTCTATATTGTACTTGCAGTCGACAGGGGAGCCCTCTATGGACCTAAACAGGATAACCAAGGTCATTGAAGGTTTGTGTCCACAGTATGGAGCTTTTCTAGAGTTGGTCTTGCTGATGATCAGTTCATCAAATGCATCTGAATAGCAGCACCTGGCTATAGTTGCCCTGTATATATATATGTCATATATTGTCATCATTCAAATAATTTAAGAACCTGCTGAGCTTCAGATGATTTTTATGCCCTGATGCATATAACTTTATAAATAAAAAGACAATTATTCAATAAGAATTCATTGAATTAATTACTCTCATAATCAAAACAAAGAACCCTCGGTCATAGTCTGTTTTGTCCTTGTGTCTGCATTCTGGTTTTCTCTCTTTTTGAGGCCGATGGTTCTGCTGGAGGTGTCTTCCGGTAAAAAGGCAGTTCTTCTTCCTGGCAACTGCTACTCATGGAGGATCACTGACAGCACTCGATATGGTCTTCTGCTGCTTTGGGCCATTGTTTTCCAGGTTCCATGTGTTGTGTGATCAGAGATGCTCTTCTGCATATCTTGTTTGTAACGAGTGGTTATTTAAGCTGGCTATTTTCCTCTGACATCCAGCATTTACATGTCATTTTCATCCAGAGGATTGCTGCTCACTGGATATGTTCTCTTTGTCAGACCATTCTTTGAGTAGAGATGGCTGTGTGGGGAAAATCCCACTGCCACATGCGTGTTCACATGCCATGAACAAGAAAATGGTCTTTCATAGCTGCTTAAAGTTAATGAGAAATGACTGTTTTCCTTTTCTTCCTCCACTACTCATGCACTCTTTCTCCTCTGCCTCTCAGATTCTTTATATAGATTGTTAAAGTCTTGCTGGCTGGGCTCTCTGACCTGGTGTGTATTAGTCAAATTAGTTACACAATTAGGCAATAAAGACAGATGAGTTGTTGTGCGTGTCACTGTACAACATGTTTTGATTTTAGTAAATCAGAGTGTGCTTAGAGCTTTGTAGGAGTAAAGTGATCTGTAAGCCACGTCTAATGTGACGAAAGCTATTTAGCTTATGACAGTGAGCATTTAGTTAAGAAGAGTTTGTGTTTTATCGGTTAGGGAAATAAATTATAATAGTATATAATTGGTTTCCACCTTATATAAGATACATAACTTGACGTCAGGGAGAAGAGACTTTGTGCTCTGCTTGTATACAAAGTGTATACTTTGCTTGTACAAACAAAGTGTATCGCCAGACAGCGAAGCGCCGCAGTGGCATAGTTCCACCACTAGGTGGAAGCAAACTCCATTGTATTTTTGAAAACAATTATCCAGTAAAGGAAATCCAGACTCTTTTGGGATATATTTTATGTTGCGTTCTTATTGCTCGGTGCAGGGCCAACAATCAGTTAAAAAAAATTAAGATATTTTAATTGCTTTACTGAAACATCTGCCTCTCTTGAATGCAGATAACCCGCTGGAGCACTGCTGCTGTATACTGGCCAAATCTAAGCACCAGAAAGTCCATATTGCTGATATTTGATGGCATTCAGCTCTGCCTATTTATAGTCAATAATCGGTGTGCCTACTTACTGAAATCCACTGAGTTTCTCTCCTCGGTTCTCAGATTACAGGGTGTATAATTAAGTCACCACTTTAGCTTTTTTCCGTCTCCGAAAGCAGGAGAGCAGCTGAAGAGCTGAATACTGATGAGGAGCAAATGCTAAATCAGCAGGTTGCTTAAATTCAAGAGATTTCAAACCTTATCCGCTCTCATCCACGGCGCTCTGCTTACAACTCGAAACAGATCTCAGAAAAATTCAAGCATAAGGCCCAACAGACTGACTGTGGGTTCTGGCAGGTTTTCTTAAAACAGACCATGAGAGGAGCTCAGAAGTAGTGAGAGAAGCAGAATGCAAAGAGAAGCAGAAGTCAGCTCCTCTAATTAAATTCATCTCTTTAGGCTCTCTCTGCTGAATTTATTGAGATATGGAAGCTTTGGGGAAAATGCATTGTTGTTGCAGGGCTCTTGCTGATAGGAGGGTACTTTATTTATGCTATTTACAACATTAAACTGCTCAGTGTCAAAGCACAAAAATGGGGAAGATGTACTGCAGCTGCTTAGATTTACATGTGTTAAATATGGGCTCAAATTATCCAAAGAAAAAACAAGTGCCGTTTCAATCAAATTTTAACTTTAATTATACATTTCACAATTTTAAAAATGACCCTCAGGTGCAGGGCAGGTGAAATTTAAAGAAAGAAAAGAAGCCCCAGATAAAAAAAATAAATGGTATATCAGAAATGGTCTGAAGCTGGTCACTGTGCAGAATGCTTGTGATAACTTATTTAGCTGAATCCCATCTCTACAATGTGTTTAAATGATTCAACAATGTTAAATTGTTATGAAGATTCAATAAATGTACATCAACAGGTTAACATTCCCATTGAAACACAGAGCTTATATCTCAGAAGGGCAGGAAAACTGAGTTTAGACTTGGATGGACTTGGAGGATTTAAGATATCGCCCTTTCTTCAAGAACCATGTACAGCTCATAAGATCCAGTCCTGATATTTTTCACTCTCAGGAGTCAACAGTGTAAGGCTGTGGTTGTATGCAGGAGCTTAGCTGTGTGAATATTAGAGCACAAAGCTTTTTTTTTATCACCTAGGCTGAAAAAATATTTTTTGGAAAGGAAAACAGAAAATTCTACCAGTTTTGATCCCATTCCAGACTGCAAATGGACTCATTTTAGAGAGCCTAATGGATACATTGGCAAAAGCAATATTGGTCACTTCAGAAAGTATTTGGAGCTCTTTACTTTTTGTACTACATTTAATTTAACATAACTAAAGCTATTTTTCCCCTATCGGTGTATATTCATGGATAATAGATAGTGACAAAGCAAAACAATGATTTCAAGTATATTAAAATTGTGCTCATTTAATACAGATAAAGAAAAATAAAATCAGCATCACTGCGCTGTATTACCACAATGTCACACAACTGGTAGTTAAAACTGTTGCCTCACGACAAGGAGATCCTGGGTTTGAATCCACCTGCCAACTGGGGTCATCCTCCCGACGCCTGCTGGAATCCCTACACGTACTTCCTCCCATACTCCAAACACATCCATGTTAGGTTAACCGATGCTTCTAAATTGGCTGTAGGTGTGAATGTGAACATGAACAGTTGTCTGGCTTTCTGTGTTGGCCCTCCAGCACACTGGCAACCTCCCCAGGGTATACCCTGCTTTTTGTCCTGTGACATGGGACAGGCTACAACATATTTTTTGTCTGTGTACAAAATTCTGTTGGGTGTAATTCTGGGCTTTGGCCCACTGACACACTCCTGGACACTCAGTCCTGAAGTACATGCAGGGCTGTTTTGGTTGCTTCGGGTCACTGAAAGAAACGAAAGGTGAATGCCCGATGTTTCCCCAGCTCACTGCACTCACATTTTCCTGTGTTTCACCTCATTCACTGTGAAGCTCTCTCATTGCATGATTCTCCCACCATACATGCGTCGCTGCATTAGTCAGGTAGGGAGGAATAATGGCCATTAATAGTGCTTTAAGATTTGCCCAAAATATTTATTTTTCTATTCTGATAAAAATCTAAAATAAAACAGTTGTTGCTTATTCATACAGAGTCTTTTAAAATCAAGTTGACTGTCATATCTTTTGATTTACATCAAGCTCCTGATTAATGAAGAAGACCCTTTTTCTCAGTTACTCATCTTGGGTGAATGCTGAGCTCTCTTCCAGCTCAAACTGGAGG